TTCTAGATGCAAACGTCTCAGAAACACGCAAGTTCGGCTGGTGTACACTTCTATCGCCACCAGCCTGTGCAAGGCATCTACCACGTTTTGCAGAGCGATCTATGCCACGATGCCCGTCATAGCAGCAGCCAGGAAACAAGCTTTTCTTTTGAAAGCTGCAAGGAGCAATACTTCACTCTGGAATCATGCCCTGCACCAACTACCGGTTTCACGGAGTGTGATGATTCTCCTTCCTATGCCAGTGTATCATCTAAAAGGAGTCCATTTTCTCCACAAGGTTCTCATTCGTGCTATTCAGATCACCACCAATCCTCTGACAACACCTATGGATCGCCAATAAGCGGTTTGTCTAGCGTTGACGATGGGCATGAACTGAAGCACAAACTCAGAGAACTGGAGATTTCATTGTTGGGGCTTGACGAATCGGACATCGAAGACAGTTTTGGCTGCTGCGTCAAGGGCAGCAGACTCGACGGAGCATCTCAGCTGGCTAAGCATGACTGGGAGCAGATTGCTGAAAATATTTCACGTTTTGACCTGAAAGGAGTCCTCAGGGTATGTGCGCAGGCCGTGTCTGATGAAGATGTTCCAACAGCAAGAGGGTGGATGGATAATGTATTGGGGAAAATGGTATCAGTCTCTGGAGATCCGATTCAGAGGTTGGGTGCTTACTTGTTGGAGGGGCTTAGAGCAAGGTTGGAATCATCAGGGCATCTCATCTACAAATCCTTGAAGTGTGAACAACCAACAAGCAAAGAACTGCTGAGTTACATGCACATCCTGTACCAGATTTGTCCATACTGGAAGTTTGCATACATATCTGCAAATGCTGTCATTACAGAAGCTATGGCTAACGAGTCCAGGATTCATATAATGGATTTCCAAATAGCACAGGGCACACAGTGGTATTTACTTATCCAGGCTCTTGCACATAGGCCTGGGGGACCCCCTTCCCTTCGCGTGACCGGTGTTGATGATTCGCATTCGATTCAAGCTCGAGGTGGAGGACTTGAGATTGTAGGAGAAAGGTTGTCAGAATTTGCGAGGTCTTGTGGAGTTCCGTTTGAATTTCACACTGCTGCAATGTCTGGCTGTGATGTTGTGCGAGGAAGTATTGAAATTAGACCCGGGGAAGCTCTGGCAGTAAATTTTCCTTTTGTTTTGCACCACATGGCAGATGAGAGCGTGAGCACCGAGAATCACAGAGATAGATTGTTGAGGTTGGTTAAGAGCTTATCTCCCAAGGTTGTCACCCTTGTGGAGCAAGAATCCAACACCAATACATCTCCTTTCTTTTACAGGTTTCTTGAGACCTTGGATTACTACACTGCCATGTTTGAATCCATTGATGTGGCCTGCCCCAGAGATGATCAGAAGCGCGTGAGCGCAGAGCAGCACTGTGTGGCACGAGACATTGTCAACATGATAGCCTGTGAGGGGGCTGAGAGAGTTGAAAGGCATGAACTTTTGGGAAAGTGGAGGTCGAGACTTTCCATGGCTGGATTTAAACAGTGCCAATTGAGCTCTTCTGTCATCGCTGCTACCCAAAATCTCCTAAAGGACTTCAGTAAAAATTATAGGCTTGAACATAAAGACGATGCCCTTTATCTTGGTTGGATGAACAGACACATGGCTACCTCTTCTGCTTGGAGGTGAAACTGAGTGATTAGTATCTCGTCCTCCTTTTTGACCTTTAACTGAGTGTAATTTATCATATAGTTTCTCCTCAGGAAATGTGATTCACCTCTTTTCCATATACTGCATTCTGCAGAATCTCAAAGCACGTTGTAAATGCCAATACTGAAATGAAAGAAAGAACCAAAAATAAACGTCTGCTATGACTTTAGTGCAGTTTTCCTTGCCTCTTCCGCGGGTTTTAGTGTTATTTAACTAATGTCCAATGAACTACAAACTTCAATCTTCTTTACTCCTTTAATTCCTTGTAATAAGTTGCAGCTCAATCTTGTTTACTCCTTTAATTTTTAGATTAAAATCTTCTCATCCAATTACTTTAATGATAAATTACTTTCTTAAAACTTGTTACTCAAACAACATACCTTTATTTAATTACTTGATTTAAAGTCACATTATTTCCTAGATGTTATCTTCTTTTAAATTGAAATTTTGTCACAATTTTATATTTAAAAAACATCTAAAATAGTTAAAAGAAATATTTAAATTATTTTAAATTTCAATATTTAAACCACATAAATCATGTAAGATGTAATAAGATGTAATGAAAGATAATACAAAGAGCTAGAATCACCAAAGTGTCCTTAAAACATCTCGATATTATGTGCCACCACTCTAATTCTATAATTTTAAGCACCATGATATGTTAATTTTTTCTAACAACTTTTTTATAACAGATTACGTGTTACAAAGTCTGCTATAATTTTTTCTACCATTATAAAAAGTTGTCAAAAAAAAATTGTTAAAAAAAACATTTTCCTAATTTTAATTCTAAAATGTGTCAAGAAAAATAGAATTGAAGCATACACGTTAGGACAATCGGGACAATCATATGTTAACAAATTTTTTAACAAATTTTTTAACAAATTTTTTAACAAATTTTTTGGCAATATGTTACTATTTTCCTACACATTATTCGAGCATGGAAAGGAGACAATTGAAAACAGAATTTATGGATTTGTCACTAATTTAGTAAATGATGTTTGACCTTTATTTTGGACAAGTGAGGACAATCCATGTTGGTGGTGTAAATGGGCATGATTCTTGCATTTAGAATTAACATTTTTTTCACCTTAGAAGGTTCATGAAGAAGTGATCTGACCATGACAGTGATCTAAAAATAAATTCACCATGTAAATGTTCATTGAGAAGATATAATATTAATAAAATTTTAATATAATTATATAAGTAATTAACACAATTCTTTATTAAAAATTTTAAAATAATAAATTAATGAATTTTTACTTTTATATTTTGTTTTATTTTTTATTTTTATTTAACGTGATATTTGGATTCTTACTTCGATTTTCAACCAAAAATTCTTAAAATAAATTGACAACTATAAAAGGAGCTCCCGTTAAAGATATACATGGAGATTGATTATATACCAACCTTCGGACTCTCACATTGTCTCATGTAATATTTAATGTTGTTATTTTTATTTAATTTGTTTGGCTTACATCCATTTAACATTCAAATGGAGCTTACTAATTCTTTAATTAATATTTTTATCTTTTTATTTTCTCTACTTAGCATTAATCGATGCAAGTTTCTTATTTTTAATTTAAAAATCAACTTCTTAATGTTAGTCAAGACGACTGATTAGAATTTTTATTTTTTAAAATTTTACAATATTTTCTATTTTTAATTCAAATATTAACTTGACTTAACTTTTTATTATTTAAACTTTATTAAATACCAGCACAGGCTTGATCCATATTTTTTTTTTTTTTATTTTAATACACAAATTAACTTTTTATTGTACGTTCAGTCCATTTTAATTGAAATTTTATTTTTTAAAATTTATTAAATGTTAGAGTGGACCTCACCCAATTTTTCTTTTTACTTTTAATTGAAAAATTAACTTCTTAAGATCGACCTGTACCACTTTGGTTGAACTTTTTAATTTTTAAAGTTTATTAAATTCTAGCATCTATAACTTTTTAACTATCATTTTGTTTTGTATCTTTTTTTTTTGTTTTTTCACCAAATCCATTAACTTCGATTATATGTATGATGCTATTTTATATAGTAGCTAATTGTTTGATTTTTGTAATGTATTACATAGTCACCTAAAAATAATTCAAAAGTATAATACCTTACAACTTTTATATTTTGTTAATGTTTTTTCTATACAAAATCTCACTAATATTCCCATAGTCGATCTCTTCCTTGGAAATAATTTAACAATTTTAATTTTATTATTTATATAGTTTGAGAGTCTCCACTAAATTTCACCACATTTTTTTTTATTAAAAAACCTTTTAAAATCTTAATCTAATACACCCTCTATACAATACAGGTGTAGAGAGATTAACAATATTATTTTACGTCAATATTCTGTACTTTATATAACCATCCAATAACTATGAATATTACTACTTTATTTTAATTTTAATTTATTTATTTATATAATTTGAATATAATATTTTATTATTAAAAAAGCGAATGTGAAAAGATAATTTCCACTATTTCATTATGTATGTCAATCCTACTTAAAGAAAAACAAAAAATATATACATTAAGATATTATTATTATTATTATATTTCAATCTTTCACATGTAAGAATTCAAATCCTATTTTAATTCTTTTTTGTAAGTTATAAATATATTCCATGTTAGAAAATTAACAAAAATATAATATTAAAATCATTTTCCAAAGGCTATCACCCAAATATTAATAATTTCTTCTAAATTTGATCACTTCATTTGCTTTTATTTAATTTTGATTTGTTTCACCGATAATATTTACTTGTCATGTTCCGAACTTTACATATTAGTTGATTACATTGACCATATATCAAAGTCAAATTCTAACATTTATCATAAACATTAATGTAAAAATATTTTTTCGCCCTACATTCATTAAAGCAAATATTATTCTTGCTTAAAATGGAAAACAATTACAAAAGCATTTATTGCAAAATATATTTTGCCAGAATAGAAATGTTCATTACCTGCATGACGTTATTTATTTATATTTTTTATTCCTACAACACTAAATTTCATTTTATATGCTCTCTTTCATACATTTCAGTGGCTCTTCCGTTATTGAATCTGCAGTGACAGGTAAAATGTCTTCTTCCCCAATCTCTCAACCTTCATTACAACCATTAAACAAATGAAATTGTATTTTATTATCCCTTCAATTGATCCTGCAGTTGGCATCATGAGATATTCTTAATCTGTAATTAGTGTTAATCTAATTTTCTTAAAGATTGTGAAGAAAATAAAAATTATTACAAGCTCGATTCACTCTCCCAGATTCCTCGGGATTCTCCGGAAATAACGTTCCTTACATTTTGATCTCTTATAAAACGTAATATTTTTCTGTCATGAGTGATAATAAGATCTGAATTGGTTGATTAATACTTTAATGTGCAGAATGGAGAGAGAGGAAGAGAGGGAACGGCGTCGTTTGCGTGACCGACAAAGAAGGCAATCAATGACTAAAGAGCAGAGGGAACGACACCTTGCACGGCGGCGCAGAAACTACCAGCTTCGGCGGCAGAGAGCTGCAAATACTCCATTACCGCCTCTTCCTCAATCAACATCTTCTCAACCCTCCGTCACCACTGCCGGTCACCTTCCCTCTCTTCCTCCTTCCATCCCCTCACAGAACACGTTACAAATTATTCAAGGTAATTTTTACTTTTCTGAATTAAGAAAATTACACGATTATTTATATTAGGTAATTAAAAATAGTTTAAAGTAACGATGAAAATTAAATTAATAGATATTCAATATTTTAGAAATTTATCGTTAAATAGATGTATTGTCTAATTATAAAAATACAGATACGATGATGAATAATGGAGCGTCAATTCAGATGGAAGGTTTTCCCAAGCGATTAAGTATCGTGAAACGGCTTGCAAGAAACTTTGGAAATACAAAGAGTGTTATGACACTGGACAGTTATCATGTCGCACCACATTTTATATCAGGTTCAAGCAATACACAAAACAACCTTTTTATTTGTCTTTTAGTTCTTTATGTTTTTTTGGATAAAAGCATAAGTGTTTTTTGTAAGTGATTCTTGATACCTTCCCTTATTTCAGGTAACAGTGGCACGACAAACATCTTACGTTTGAATAGTGTGAAACGCCTTGCTCGATCATTGAGTTTTCCTTTGGAGAAACAGCCATCCAGAAATAACGACAATGTAACTAATAGTTAGTTTCTTGTTGGAATGAATGTAACTTTCTGTTTTCTTTTAATGTATAATGCTATTCAATTTAGACAGTGTAGAACAAAATAGGACACGGGATTATGTAGTGAATCACTCGTGCCCTTGTAATTGTACAATCAGTAGCAGGCAAATATTACATTAATTCTATTTACTATTTTCATGGCAATTTTTTATATTCGCCAAAAAAAATCATTTTTATTAGACATTCTTTGTTGGAATTTGTTGGAAGAGTTACTCTTCCAAATTGAAAACAGGAAATGTACATCATTAACCATGTTACAAAATGTTATTTTGTTTATTTGGTTTAGTTATCATGTTTACTTATAACTAATTTATGTCGTTTTATGTTTTTTTAATTTTGTTTGAATTATGTTAAAACCTTATATTTGTAATAAATTTAATTTAATTTCACTCAAACATTTACAAACACACCTTTTATATATTTCCCACGTAATTAAACAGTTTAAATACATTAATTTAATTATTACATCAAATAATAATCACAACAGTGGATCAGCTGCGGCGACAAGATTAGATTAGGAATGGCAGCAGAACAATAGTCACGTAAACATTAGGAGCAATGGAAACCTGAGGAGCAGCAGTAACCAATTAACATTAACAAACTCTAATTAATATTCAACAATAAATAATAGTATATACGATAAAACATAAATTTAAAAATATGAAGAATGTTAAATTTTGAATTCTTCCTTTACGTAAATTTTAAAATTTTCCACTAATTTTAAACTATTCAATTACTATAACTTCCATAATTTTATTTCTTTTTAAAGTTCTATCAAATAACATATTTTATCATTTGAATAATTTTCTCCAATTAGTATTTTTTAACCTTTTTTAACATGATTGAGAATCCAATTATAAGTTTAACTCTCACATCAAATACAAATGAAAAAGTTGAATATCCATAAATATATTGTCCTAAAGATTTTTATTGGAGATGGTTGAGCTCGTGTCTCAATGATATTGTATTTCTACAGTGATTTCTTTCAAAAATGATATCAAAATGATAATCTTGGTGAGTAACTCAAACATGTCCATGGATCAAAAGTATGAGTGACAAAATGGGTTGTGCCTTGTGGGCCAGCTCGCCAAAGCAAGGGTGTGCAAGGTTCGAATTTTTAACCTCCAACGTGTTTTTACTTGATCTATCTAGCTCACCAAATTGACGGGTCAAAGGTAAGTCACCTTGCTCCGACTCGTTGGCATTTTTTTTAATTAAAATTAAATTAAATATAATTTAAAAAATTAAATTTTTTATATTATATTTTTTGAAGAAGTAAATATGCAAAAAATAATATTGTAATTTAAATCATTAATACTTACAAATTAAATTTTAATTATTAGTTATGATATAGTAATTTAACATAAAAATATAATAATTATTTTAATTTATTCAATTAAAACATTAATTAATCAATTTATATAAATGAATTTAAAAAATTAAAAGAAAAGAAAAGGTACAGAAAAATTGATAAATCAATATATCAACCCATGTTACCATTTCTAGCTAGCCCATTTTTGGTGGGCCAAGGACATATTGTAGTGGGACATGTTACCATTTATAGCTAACCCATTTTTAGTAGGCCAAGAATGGATTAAGTTGACCGGTTTTGTCATCTTTAACCAAAAGTCTTTATAATGAAAGGTCCGATAAATATGTTCAGTTAATATGAATAACAACACAAATAAGGAAAATTTGTGGTAGCTTGAGGGAGAAGTGTTAATGTGATTTTTGATAATTTAAAGTGTCAGTATAAATCATATGTTTAGTAAAAATGAAAAAGATTGTTAATCTTGGTGGCTATTTTAAACGAGTCTATGTATCAAAAGGCTTTCTGACAGAAGGTAAAACAAACATGTTCCATTAAGATGAATGACGATACAATTAAGGAAAACTTGTGGTTAGTTCGAGGGAGACGTGCCAATGTGATTTTTGAAAATCTGAATGTAAGCATAAAAAAAAATATCCTCCATCAGTTACACCATATTTATTTAAATGACGTAATTATATGTAATTTATTTCTAATTATTAATATATTGTGAATAACTTTTCAATTTATTTTAATGTTACTCCCATTTTGTTTAACTCTAATTAAAAAGCAGTAGCCATAGTATTATAAAGAACTAAAAAAAGACTCTCGGTCCAGTACTATCGTACTATCTCAAACAGTAAAACTTGTACTATCTCACACATGCCAAGTACCAAGTTTTTATAACTTAATATTTACAACTTTTTTGTTTGGCCCAGTTACTTATGTGCAATGCATTAAAATAATTTATTAAAATAAGCAAACACGTCATTCTTAAAAGGAAATTAATCTTCAAAAGTCTATTAAGGATATTCTAAAGGTATAAAAGTAAAACACATCTCACAAAATTATTGTTCATGATTATTATTAATGTGATTTTTGATAATTCAAAATGTCAGTATAAATCCTACGTTTAGTAAAAATGAAAAAGATTGTTAGTCTTGGTGACTAACTTAAACGAGTTTATGTATCAAAAGCCTTTATGACAGAAGGTAAAACAAATATGTTCCGTTAAGATGAATGACGACACAATTAAGGAAAACTTATGGTTAGTTGAGGAGACGTGCCAATGTGATTTTTGAGAATCTGAATGTTAGTATAAGTCTCATGTTAAATTAAAATGAAAAAGTTAAACATTTTTATACCCTTAAACTTATTTTATTGAAAATTTGGGTTACAGATGATGTCAATTGAGATATGAATGATATTTTCTTCAAATACCTATTAATATCATAAAAGAAATTATAAAAAAATTATTCTTTTTCACAAGATTATAATCAATTTATACATAAATTAAAAAATATAAAGCAATTCTTTTGATTTTTTTTTTTTTGCAAACACAGCTATTTAGCGATCTATAGTATTTTGAGAATAATATAGGTCGTAAATAGGAAATGGATTACTTGAATTTAATGTTTAAAATATAAAATGTTGTAAAATAGATTTTACAACGGCCTTTTATTCTAAAACTCGAAAGCAGGCGTGTATAGCGAGATATGAAAAGAGAAAGAGCCATCGATTCTGTTGCAATGGGTAGGGATGAGCTAAAATCAAGGAAGGAATGGTGGCAAATTTTGGTGAACATTTTGAAGAGTGAAAGTGGAGCAGAGAGACAAGACGACATTGTTGTATCCGAAACTTACTTTTCAGCCCTCAGAATTAAGTATCCAACCAAACATCCTCAACCGACAAAACACAGAGGATCTCAACAGTGCGCGTTTGGTTTCTCATTCAATCTGAGAGATCGCGTCAAAACAGAAGAAGACGTGGCTTTCAGATCAGAAGATCTTCTGATTAATTTATGCATCTCCTTTCATCTCTTCCAACGATCACCATGCCGTTAGTTTCATTGTTATACAATATGGAACTGCGTTGCAGGAAACGTCATTAATTCTCATCGCGGATACACAATGCACACTGCCTAAGAAATTCAGCGAGGTAAAATATATGATTCTTCATTTTCTTTTTCAATTTAATTTTTATTTAGAAAAAAGAAATTGATGTAATCAGGTTATTTTTATTAATACTATACTAACTATCATCTTAAACATATATAATGTTAGCATCTGGTTTGTTAAATCATTCACGAATGTTTAATCTTATAAACCAAATGTATACTTTCAGGGTAGGAACGAGAGTTGTATACTTTGAGTACAAGAACGAGAATTTTGTTAGAAATTTCACGTTAACTAGATATAACAAAGTTACAATATTAACTATAAATTTTAATTTTTAAATTAATTTTACAAAATTGAGTTAAACTTAAAATTTATTTTTATATAAAAAACATTTAAAAATAAAAATATATTTAAAATTTTCTTAACCTAATTAATTGATATAAAATTATTCAGACAATTATCCTTGCTTAGTTACCACTTTTTCAAATTATAGTTTATATTTGAAATAATTTATTTCATCTCTCATCTTATCAGAAAACAAGCATCACCCCTTTTTTACAAAAATAAAAATCATAGTAAAAAACTGTTGTTATTAAGTATTCAATGTAAATATTATCTTTTTCAAGATCAAATTTTAAAAAATAAATTATAATTTATTTAAATATCTAATAATAATTAAATAAAGGTCACATAATTATATATAAAAATAAAAATGTTAAATATGTGTGTTAGAAATAAGTTACGAAATTAAAAATTAAATAAACTTAATATAAATTTTTTAGATTAGATAACGTGATTTATTCTTAAAACACGAAGGAGGATGGAACATGAATATATATATCCATGAAAACAAGTTCATTTATAATGTCTAACTGATATGCTATACTATTATATATTGTCTCTGACATGTTACAATTACAAATAAAATTTAATTTAATAAGAAATCGTTATCGATATTAAAATCATAATTATAAGAAAAACAATTGAATTACATCTACCAATTTATAATTAATTAATTAACATAGAAAAATAACATAAACCAACAAGTTTAACAGTTTGAGCATACTACTAAAATTATATAATACTTGTTGCTTAAGTAGTACTTCTAACAAGACTTGGCATAGGAAGAATATGATGATTTTATTGAAGACAGATGCTAAACTTATATACATACATTCCTAGAAAACTATTTAAAAAACAACAATACGAATACTGATTTAAAATGATTTCTATAATCATACTAACTTAATTCTCTTCATTGGCTGTGATTTGTTGGACAAATCCGTGTCTATTTCTGTTAGCACATCTTCATAATTATTTCTGATATTAGTATGGAATATATTTTATAATTATATCTGATATCAGTATTAAATTGCAGGATTACGGATCACCTCATCAACTTCTCTACAATATATTTAATTATATTGTGTTTAAATATGTTTTGAAATTAAGGATTTTGAATGTTTTGATAGGTAAATAATTAATACACTGGTAATAACGTGATCAATAACATATTAAATTACATTTATAGATTAAGATAGTAGAATGTACAACAAAAAATCATTTAGGAGGAAAGCATACAAATAGTACACATACGAGGGAACACAAAAAATCTTACTTTATATTATAAATATACATTGTTGACAAATTTCAAAATAGAGAAGAATAATTTGATTTTCTGACTTTTGAGTTATCTTTTCTCAGTGACTTTTTTAATCATAAGAATATTTTCAGTGAAGAAATCGTCAGAAATTGATCAAGGCTACATAAAGAAGAACGTAAATTAAATGCAAATCTTATTTTGAATAAGATGGTACAGTTTCATTAAAAAAATGGCATAAAAGCTTCTGAACATCTCGTCATTTTCATTTTATGAAGTAAACAATCTTTACAAACAATGAATGAAACTCATTCCTTATTTTTCATACTAAAATAGGTCAAAATACTTAATTAATACACTTATTTTCTTTCTGGCCTCGTAAGTTTACTTTGCATTATTTATTTTCTGCGACATTATATAATATTTCTTCATATCCCAGGTGAAGTGGATTTACCTGCGACTCTCTTCGTCACGTCCCAGGTATATATATTTCTAAACATACCTTCACAACAATTTTTTTTTTCTTAAAAAATTCAATCAAGTTAACTAGTTCGAGAGTGATTGACATATAGTATCTAGATAAAATGACCTTTTAAAATGTGTATGATATTACTTAGTTTAACTTTTGGCTATTATAAAAGAATTTGAAGAACATTCTATGAGAGAAATGGAAGAGATTTTCTTGATAGTTGCAAGAGCATTTGAAATGTTTTGTGAGCTTTTCACCATTTTTTTATGAAAGGTGAAATTTATTGTCTAAGAAATAAATAATGGGCCATTGAAGGTGTTAGAATGGGAGGGGTTGAGCACGGTGGAAGCAATGTGGAATTCAGAGAATGTTGGAACAGAGCAAGAGGTTCACCATACATTATGCGCCTTGCTTTATCAGCAGGCATTGGAGGTCTTCTATTTGGCTATGACACAGGTAATTCTGTTGGAAGTTCCACATCGACTAGAGATAAGGCCAAATTTATAATATATAAGTGAGGTGCAAACCTCACCTTACAAGCCGGTTTTGTGGGGTTGAGTTAGGCTTAAAAACCCACTTTCTAATATGGTATCAGAGCCATGGTTAGTGCCTATCCTAGCGAGTTCTAAGTGGGCATTCTATTCTTCTATTCCACCTGCAATCTTTACAAGCCGGTTTTGTGGGGTTGAGTTAGGCTTAAAAACCCACTTTCTAATAAATTCCTTCATCAAAAAACTTTTCAATTTGCCTAAACAAGTTCCTTTCTTTCTTCTATAACATCATATCTTCAAGATTATTTTACTGAATCCTCACACGTGTAGGTGTCATCTCTGGAGCTCTGTTGTACATCCGAGACTACTTTGAAGAAGTTGACAAGAAAACATGGCTACAGGTGAATTCTGCGAAGAAGGGATGTGCTGTCACCCTCCATTTCTAGATGATTGACTTAATGTTCTATTTTATTGCTGTTGCAGGAAACGATTGTAAGCATGGCTGTCGCAGGAGCCATCATTGGTGCTGCATTTGGAGGATGGATAAATGACAAATTTGGGAGAAAAAAGTCGATTATAGTATCTGATGTTTTGTTCTTTCTCGGTGCAATAGTTATGGCTTTTGCACCGTTTCCGTTGATCCTCATTATTGGGAGAATCTTAGTTGGTTTGGGAGTTGGTATGGCATCCATGACTGCACCTCTGTACATCTCAGAAGCTTCTCCTCATAACATCAGAGGAGCTCTAGTCTGTGTCAATGGTCTGCTTCTCACAGGAGGACAATTTCTGTCTTACCTTATCAATTTGGCATTCACCAAGGTAAACATATAGGAACTGAACTGAAGTGTAAAACTTTTGGATAACGTTGTCAGATCAGAGGGTTGTTTTCTTTTTTTTCTTAATGGTCAATTTGATGCGTTTCAGGTACCTGGAACCTGGCGATGGATGCTTGGGGTGGCAGGAATTCCTGCTGTGCTTCAGTTTGTATTAATGTTGTCTCTCCCTGAGTCACCCAGATGGCTCTACCGTCAGGTATTGCAAATCTTCCTGCCAATCCAATCCAGATTGAAATTTTTGTGCATTAATTGTTTGTGAAATTGCTTACATGTGTTTATTGTTCAATAGCATAAACTCAGTGATTGGCATCCATTTGGTATTTCAGGGGAAGGAAGAGGAGGCAAGGAACATCCTGTTGAGAATCTATCGGCAAGACGAAATTGAAGAAGAGATGAGATCAATGCAAGAGTCTGTTCAAGCTGAGAAGGAGGAACACTCGAATGGCCAGAAGAATTTGGCAAAAAGATTGAAGGATGCTTTTAGCAATGATGTAGTTCGAAGAGGTCTATATGCTGGCATCACTGTTCAAGTTGCTCAGCAGTTTGTGGGCATTAACACACTCATGTATTACAGTCCAACCATTGTTCAGTTCGCTGGAATTGCATCTAACTCAACAGCTCTTGCACTTTCTCTCATTACATCAGGTCTCAATGCTGTTGGCACTGTCATGAGTATGGCATTCATCGATAGATATGGAAGGAGAAGACTTATGCTCATTTCCCTGGTTGGAATCATTGTTTGCCTCGTCGTTTCAAGTGCTGTCTTTTTCCAGGCAGCTAAACATGCCCCTGCAGTTAGTGACCAAGACACCCTCAGTTTTGGAACCAACTCTACATGCCAGCCTTATATAAATGCTCCTAAATTCCCTTCCTGGAACTGCATGCAATGTTTGCATGAAGACTGTGCCTTCTGTGCCAACAGCGACAACGAAGTAGGTTCTTCCAACTTCCTCGTATCACATGCTAACACTGTTAGGCCACTCCCATAACTAATTACCTCACAACAAGACCCTCAACTTGCATGTTCTTGTAAATCAGAATCTATTACATAATTCAGGACAATTATGATCTAACAAATCAGAATATCTAATAATTTCTTCCCAAATGTGTATTAATTAAGCTGAACATCATGCAACCTTGTTTAACCAAAGCTGTGTCTGTCTGTCTGTATTTGTTGTACAGTATCATCCAGGTGCATGCCTGTCTGCAGAAAAGAGTGTAAGAGGAGAGTGCCGTGCAGAGAAACGAGTATGGTTTTCTAAGGGATGTCCAAGCAAAATTGGAATCTTAGCTGTAGCAGTGCTGGGATTGTATATTCTAGCATACTCTCCAGGAATGGGAACAGTGCCTTGGGTTCTGAATTCAGAGATATACCCTTTGAGATACAGAGGTTTAGGTGGAGGTATAGCTGCAGTTTCCAACTGGTGTGCTAATCTTATTGTGAGTGAGTCATTCTTAAGCATGACTGAGACTCTTGGTGCAGCCGGCACATTCCTACTTTTTGCTGGGTTCTCCGTCATTGCATTGATAGCAATCTATGCATTAGTGCCTGAAACCAAAGGCCTTCAGTTTGAGGAAGTGGAGAAGTTGCTTCAAGAAGGCTTCAAACCCTTCCCGTTTAACAAGAAAAAGAAGGACATCAAAGAAAAAGTTGAAGATGAGTAGTTGCCATGTAAGAGTAGCTTTAATGATATGGAGGACATCACAATAAAAGGTGCTTCTCTTCTTGCCTCCTCAAATAATTAATGAAATGGCATTTAATTCATCTTGGAAATCTCTACAAGAGTGGGTAGCTTCACTTGGCAATTATGCTATTGCCTTTGTTACATGCCTCAGATTGCTCACCCAAATTTTCTTTGGGAGCCCCACAACCCAGGTCCCTGTAAAACTTTGTGAACGTAGTTCAATTAGGACTATTTTTGTTAGCCGCTTAGTTCTAACATTCATTGTTTCATTACATTCAGAATTAGGAAACTCACAAACAAATCATGTTTGAAAAACTAAACAGTGTACTAAAGATTTTTTCTTTGTCGGTTCGGTGAGTACATATTATCTCTTGTAATCTACTATGTTCTTAATTAAAAAAATAATAAAATATTTATTATTTACATTAATCACAATATTAATTTATACTAATCATAAAATCTTATATTTCTTAAAATTTAGAAACAAATAAAAAATGTAAGAAAAAAATTAACACCAGCCTTATTAATGAAAAAAATTAAATAGTTAAAATTTAATTGAAAAAGGTAAAAAAAAATTCTTAATAGACAAAAAATTTAATAAAAACAATTAAAAATATTAATTTATGATAAACTTCAAGCTTAACTGAACTTTAAACATTTTATTTATTCTTAATATAAAAGACGTATTTTATGTTTTCATATTTTATTTACGCTTAATATAAGATTTAAATTCTAAATATGAAAAACTAAATTAACTCAAATTTTTAAAAAAGAACTAATTTCAATTTTTAAAAAGATATAAACATATTTAACCCTTAATATAAAATACGTATTTTATGTTTTTATATTTTCAAGAAAATAAATTTAAAAAGTGATTTATAATTTATTGTAAATGAAATGAATATTAAAAGATAATACACGAGAATGATTTAAATTGATATGTAAAGATTAAAAATAACACTTTAAAAACAATAGTAATTTAAAAATAGTAAGCTTAATTATTTTAATATAAATAGTTTTGTTACAAATTAATTTTATTATTTTAAAAACATATCATTTATATAGAAACTATTTTTTTAGAATTTTTTATCTTTTTTTTTAAATTTCTTCAAAGTTTGATTGAATATCTGAGATGATAAGATTAAACTTTACAACAAACACTTTCTTTAATTTGGACTTGGACTGATTAATTTTTCCATTCTTATAAATCATCACATCAATGCACGATTTCAGTTTGACTTAGTTTTTAGTAAAAATCACTACATCCAATCACGACTTTATAAATACTTTTAAGTTATCACATCTAATAACGTCTTTAATTCAACTTAATTTCTTTTACAGACATCCATTGATAACTTTAACTGAAATTATTTTCAAAGAAGTTATTACATTCAATAACAATGTTAATTGAAATTATTTTCAAAAAAATTGTCATACCTAATTACGTAACTTATTTCTAAAGAAGTTGTCGATATTTATAACGACTTAGCTTTAGAAAGAATAGACTAACGTGACAACTTCACCTTAATAAATTTTTTTTATTAAGTACATGATTAAGTAAAAATAATTTAACTTGGATTTGAGCCCTACAACTTCATATTGACGAAGATGTCATCTATCATTTTCACCACTTGATTTTCAAATGTCACAATTTATCGGAAATAAAATCGTACATACGAGGCACGCTTTAGGTAAAAAAGACACCCAAAAGCGAGATATAAAAGCAAATTAACTCATTTAGTAAAAAAACGAATAGCCTAGCATGGAAGAACTAAGAAGCGAACAGTAACCCATGCTTTTGCGTAAGAGAAAACACTGGCCCTCACCAAAACAACCTTACCTTCGGATGCAAGCATCAACCTAATGCGTACAAATCCTACGGTTATGAGTGAACTAAAGACCGGAACACCGACAGCGGATTAATTCGAAACTGTTACCTGCTGTGACAGCTAATTGATGATTATTAATTTATTATAGGCGAGAAGAATGAAGATGATTTGAAAAGGAAGAAAAAAATAAGATGGTATTTGAGGAAAAATGGTACCACAGGTATGAGTAGTCGCAGTCTGTGGGGTTGGCCTGCATGCTGAAGGTGGGACACTGATTTGCCACCCAGATGCTACTTCATACCACACCGCACATGAAAGCATGAAACTGGAGGACTTTACAACAAGGAGAAGCAGCTTCACGGACCTACAACATCACATTACACACCGATCATCATCCTCCAAATGAACTTTATCTCATCTTAAATTCACATTATTTCACAACCACCAAACGTTTCTCTCTACATGGCTATAACGCACCAAGACATTAGCGACAATCTAAACACCCACTAAGCAACTTCGAAAACAAAAAGATAAACGTAATGCCTTTCTTAATTTAATTTATCAAGACTAGTAGTGCCTTTACTCGAACGGATATATCTTATTCGTAACGTCATAAAGAAAAGGTGCAGTATGTACTTTTCTGGGTTTTGCCAGTCAGCATGCAAGACAAAAAATCCACGCAATAACATGTCAATCTTATGAAGAGAAGATAAAGTGTGTACTTTTTTCATATTTGCAGGTAAGCAAGCATGAAATCAAGAAGTTCAAGCTACCAGAAAGTCATTCGGTTAAAAGTATATCCCTGTTGGCCGGTGAAAGTGACTCACAAAGGGTATTCAGTGGAAACCGATGAAGGTGATTAATGGCCTATGGCTTGTACAATACATTTAAATGCGCCAGACTAACCAAATTTAAAGTTAAAACTCCATGTTCACCAAGATAAAATATGTACAAACTAACAAACACATTCCAAGTGGCAGCGTAACACCACCTCTGTATTTTCACTACAAGACAGGCAAAAACACAAAAAACTGAGCTAGCCTTTTCTACAAAAACTGAATTTTTCAAAACAAAAAGAAATCGGAAAAAAAGGCTAATCAAACAGAAACTAAGACAACCTCTGGAAACTGGAAACATTACAGATTGGACACGGGGAAGCAAAATCACCAAAGCCTGGATTAAATCATCAAAGGGTGAGCCTACTGCTGTGCTGGCAAGTTTCTAACTTGGATCCACACTGTACAAAGTTACAAACCAAAAAATATATATATTATGTACAACAACCGCTTACATTATATAATTACCTTCCTATATATAAACTACTCTCTAGGGACTTGAACAGGATGCTTCATGTCTTGATTCTCTTAAATATCCAAGGAGTGTCTCAGCCTGAAAAACCAACAAGAAACTTTAATAAACAAAGTAATCAAACGAGAAAAATTACAGTCCCTGAGGGGGCAAACAACAGAGGAAGAAGGCAAGTTTCTTTAATAAAAATTGTTTTGTCTTTAACCCAACACTATGTATATCTAATGCTGGTGAAGTCTGCAAAATGCAAAATCCACACTGTAAGCACCTAAAACCTTAAGCCCACACACAAAGGCGTCTATAAATAGAAAAAAAAAATTGCCTAGTAAGGCTAACAGTCCGTTTACTTTGTTTATGGATGAAAGGGTTGCATATGGACCTTGTATGTTACTTGCGGTTAACCTGTTCATCAGGGAGAACTGGAAGGATACATTGCAACATTTTCTGTGGAAAGCACATATTTTACATCACTTCCCTCCCTTATAGGGAATATAGAATAGCCGCCAATTCACATACCCCTTATATAAATGTTTCAAATAAATCTATGCTTAGATAGAGGGTAATAAAATCATTTAACACACCACTTTAGTGGTTGATCAAACCAAACAGAAGAGGAGGCTCACTTCTATCTAGCATTGCACGATACCAAACAAAGGAAATGATGACTGCACACCCCTACTCCGTCCCTCTACAATTTTCACCCCTTCCCTTTCCTTTTTTGACGCCAACAGCATGAATCAAGAGTTCATACATGATTAATTCAACTCTTCATAGTACCCTTTACGATCATCACATTGTGTGAAACCAACTCCTCTACTAGACCTTTATTAATATGGGTTCTGAAACCAATAACTAATCATACTATAAAAAAAATTGCAGAATTTTAGGGATGTTCAGGTATGTATATGCTTTCACAAGCAAATCTATTCTTATCTTTATTCAGTTAAAACATCACAACAATTAAACATAACTGAAAAACAACAATACACGGTGGGAGAGAAGGATATAGGAAGCAACAAACAAACATACCTTGTGCTTAGCTCGAACAGAGCCGTTCTGAGAAAGAGCAACGAGAGGAGGAATCCCGCCCTCTCTCACAAGCAAGCCTCTGTTATTAACACTGTGAGCACAGAGCTGAACAAGAGTCAGAACAGCGAACTCCTTCCCCTTCACCGACCCATCTTCGATCGCCTCCACAAGCGCAGCAATACCACCTTCTTCCACGATCGCCTCTTTTCCCTCCTCAATCCCCGCCAAGCTGTTTAGCACCACCATCGCCTTGTCCGCCATCCCGCTCCCTTCCTCCGCCACCAGCTCCACCAGCGGCTTCACTGCCCCCGCGCTCACCGCCCTCTCTTTGTTCTGCCGCACCGAGCACAGCTTATACAGCGTCGTCAGTGCGTCCTTCTTCCCTCTGTGGGAGCCATTCAGTAGCAGCGAAACCAGCGGCGGTATCGCCCCGCAAGCACCGATCGAGATCTTGTTCTCCTCCACCAAGGCAAGACTCATCAGCGCGCAAGCCGCGTTCTGCTTCGAAGTCTCCGTCCCTGTTTTAAGCGCGTAAATCAGCGACTTCACCGCACCGGCATTCGTTATCAGCGCCTTGTTCTCCTCCAGAAGAGACAGATTCAGCAACGCCGTGACCGCGTGCTCCTGCGTCCACGGATCGCTGCACCGGAGCAACGGAACCAGAGCAGGCACCGCACCGGACTCGCCAATCAGAGCGCGGTTGTCCGCTCTGTTCTTCGCCAAGAGCCTCAGCTTCGCCGCCGCCGATCGCTTCACCGCCACCGACGGAGAATGCAGTCCGTCGACGCAGATCTTCACCGTGGGCTGAAGATCCTCCGGCGAGATACTCTCGATT